GAGCGGTCCAGCCAGGTTTTGAGAGCTGCAACTTGTCCACGACGGCCGAGGTTTACAGTTCCGAGCATCAAGTAACGCCAAATTTCAAGAGACGATATCGCAACTGCTCTCCATCGACCACATACTCTGCTGATAGACCAAGGGCCGTTTTCATAATCGAAGACGTCAGGCCATCTCCGCCCATCCGTGGTGTCGGCCGCAGTTTCCATCCTGTCATTGTCCACGGGTTGGAAAACAGCCAGGCTGAAGATGTGACGGAGGATTTCGTTTGGAAGTCCCTCAGCTGTAGACGGTAGTGTTGAGTTCATCGTGGTGTAAGGGGAAAAGCTGACTCAAGAGTTACGTACCAACTGGCCGCGTCTCGTCACGGTCACGTTGATCACTGACAGTGACACCACCATCGATATCCTCGACAGCTCGACTTTGACTCGTTTCCAGATCCCAAAACAAGGACCCACACGGATTTCTACAAAACAACCTTTCGAAAATCAGCCTGATGTGCTTGGACGCTCGAGAGCTCATGGATTTGTTGAGGTGCGTCAACTGGCAAAACCGTCAATTGCAAGGGAAGTTTTGGTTTTCTTAGTCAAGAATAGGCGGTATTCGGAGTCTGGGGCGGGTGTAGCACATAGATCAAGAGGGATGGAATTATCGAATAAAGGCTCTCCGTCGGACCGTCATCAGGAAGTCAGTGTGTTTTAATTGCTTGATGTTAGGTGCGATATCATTCAACAGAATATTCGGCGAATTGGCAATCAATCATCGTCGTAGGACCACTCAATCTTAGGAAAAGGATCCATGCGGTACCGAAATCGGAGTCGACGGCTTTAACTGTGCATGATTGCGTCTACGAGTCGACGCTTCATAGGACAGACTTTGTCGACGTTACTTCGACGTCATATCCTTGAAAGACGTGATTCTGATCAGAGCAAGGATTCTCTGCATGGAGGTTTTTGAGCGGTGGGTTCTGCTCATTCTCTACCATGAAGTATGGCCTGAACTTCAGCTTCAACCTAGAAGCCGTGGATGGATGAGTGTTCGGTAACCTCGGATTTTCTCGAATCAAACAAGGATGCATGGAAGTGGATCAAAAGATCAGAAAAGATTCGGAAACGGAGGGAAGCGGGTGTCCTCTATCGTGTACGCCTTTGCTTTCTTTCCTAAGATCCTCCGCCATCCAACCCAACAAGGGAAACGACCATATGAACGTCTACCTTCCATTTCCCCGACATGTCGGTCTTTGCTTTTGGACGGAAAAAAGTTACAAGGTTCTCAGTTCCTGAGTGGTTAGCTCGCCTCAGGTCAACTCATTCTTCAAAATCAACCTCTTTACCTCCTGACTTGAACTCAATGTCAATAAATCAAAGTACCTCTTCTCAAGCCACCTGACGAAGGGGGAAACGCATCCGCTCGTGGAGCTTCCAATATCTACAACAGGAGCGGACCGTATCGCATGTGGCATGACGAGGAGTAAGGCACTATATATATATATAACTTGAAGAAACGGCGGGTGTTCGTGAGGATCTTTTTCAAGACCCCCTTTCGCAACAGGATGCTGAGTCGTCACTTCGTGTTAGGCGCTTTATTGCTTACCTCTGGGAGCGCTGTCGCGCAAACTGGGCGTGAGTTCCCAGTGTTTATCTACTTTCTTCTTCTCAGGCTAAATGATGTGCGCTTAGTTGCTCCGAAGAAGTACCTGAGTCTTCCACTCGGTGCTATCCTGCCTTCAGGATGGTTGCGTGACCAAGTACGCCACTCCTTCCTCAGAGGTCCTTTCGTTGTGGTCGCTTACGCCCGTTAATTCCAGCTCATTCTCCAGAACAACGGTTTGGCCGGGCACGAACATGAATTTTACAACTAGTATGTTTATGCTCCGTGTCATAGCGTTCATTTGAACCGACAGATATCCCTTTTAGCGTCTCCAACACTGATTGGACAGGTGGTACCTCTGCATATTCAAGTTTGGAGGAAGGTTAGTTGAGTACGACTCATTCGTCGCCCGGGTGTATTCTTACTCTCTTTCAAAACTACAGCCGGTAGTTATTGGTTTGTGCGTCCCTGTCCATGACTTTGCATTTGGTCATCTATCCTGAATTCGTTCCAGAATGCTATGGTGCCTAGCGGTATCCTCGTGAATAATCAAGCCCTCAATTCAAAGACTCAAGCATTCCTGGATTACGTTCTTTCTCATCAAGAATCATCTGGATGGCTTGGGCCCGAAGCAAACACTAACAAGCCCAAGTATCTCTGGGGAAGGCGCGTTCATTCCATCTCAATATCTGTATACCTTCATCTGACGATTCTCTTAGATATCCATTCTTCTTCGGGGCAATTCAACTCACCGAGGTCAACCCAACGCTGACGGATCGCGTTGTCACCGCCATGCACAAATTTGTTCAGTTGGCCAACACGATGCTGAAGAACGGCCAAGGTTTGGGGGATGGTGGATGGGCGCAGACGAGATGGGAAGACTTTGTCATTGCTTTGCAATGGTAGGTTCGGTACTCGCTCGGGAGTATGTCCAGACTGATGGATGCCCTTGTAATTCACAGGTTGTATGACTTCCATCCGAACGGAAATGAAGACCTCCTTATTGACACCATGAAGAGGCTCAAATGGAGTGGTGTACCCTGGGAGCAGGTATTCAGCCCCTCGGTAAGCCTTAAACGAAGACGTCGTTTGGAAGAACCTTCCTAATACGTTGCTATTAGTTGTTCCCCAAGACTGCTAGTACGTTCTTTTTCCGACCTCGCCTTATCGTGATAGATGTTGAATTATGTCGGTCAATCCAGCGGAAGGAATCCGTAACCCGACCGGGTATGGTCTGAGCGTGCGTCCCCCTTATTTCGTTTACGTTCCTCGAGCTCACGTTGTCCGATCTCAGTGGCACGGAGTGAACATGGCCGAAGGATTGAAAGCGCTCCCTGCCACTTATCGCTTCACGCATAACCAATCCGGTATGCGTCTCCTTGTATCATTCGTCTCGACAGAGATTGACGGTTACCCTAGATCTGACCGCGGCGAGTCAGGGATGGGACTTATTGTTCCAGTATCATGGAAGACCATCCGGTATCTATGCTGCTGATGAATACTTAGCGGGTTTGGAAGCTGTTCGTGGGTAAGTTCAACTTCCTCCGATCGCTGATGCAGAGGATTCACCCGACTGATATTCTAGAACGGAATTGTGTTTGGTTGTGGTACGTTCACTTTCGTTCTTGCGCTCTGAGATGTCGGCGCTGATTCACTTGTGCAGGAAACCATGTTCTCGTACGTACCTATTGCTGTTGGATGAGGTCATATCTGAACGAGATTATATCTACAGCGGTTCATTCTTGTATCAAGTCATTGGTGACCTCAAGTACGCAGACAGGGTACATTTGTTTCCTGTTGAGTGTTCCTTACCTACTGACCCCTCGGCTGTCAGGTCGAGAGAATCACGTATAACGCTCTCCCTGCAACAATCACTGGCGGTGAGTCACCTGCCATTCTCCAAACCCCACCATACATGAGAGTTGAATGTTCGTGAAGACATGTGGGCCAGACAGTACCTACAACAGGAAAACCAGATTGCGTCTCAGAACATGAATCCGTGAGTCTCTGGCCTGCAGCATCCATCCGTTATAGAACTGACTCTCCACCCACACAACAGTAATCCGTTCCCGAACGACGGGTACGTGCCTTTGCTTATCGTTTGGCCACGAATTTGCACGTTAACGGCCTTAAACAGAGCTTATTCGAATGTTTTCGGACTGGAGCCCAACTACCCGTAAGCACGTAGGAATACTCAGGTCTTCACCTCCTCTGACGAGGTCTTCAGATGCTGCACCGTCAACTTCCCTCAAGGATGGCCCAAGTTTGTTACCAACTCTTTCGTCACCACACCGGACAGCAGCAGTCTCGTCCAGGTATACCTCGGACCGTTCTCCACTTCTACAACCCTCGCTTCCAGTGCGTTTACCTGATGTGAAAACTCGATTTCCGACTAACGCTTACAATTGCAGACAACAAGGTTACAGTCACCGTGGACACTATTTACCCCTTCAGCGATGATTTGACGGTTACAATCACTGCTGCACAGGCGTATACCCACTACGTCCGCATTCCAAGCTGGGTCGTTGGAGGAACTATTGCGATCAATGGAGCCGCTGCGAAAGCTGTCTCTCCGGGTTCGAATGGATTGCAAGCTGTATCCGTCGCCGTTGGAACGACCAAGTTTGCGCTTCATCTACCCGCACAAATTACCACTGGTATGAATGCTTATCTGTCCTCCCTTTCAAAAGGCGGCTCACAATTTCGTAGAATCGCGTCCTCACGGATCCATCGCTGTCCAGCGTGGTCCATTGCACTACGCATTTGACAGTAAGCCTCTCCACATTCTCGCGCCAGGGCGGAAACATTAACGCAATCAAAATAGTCCCCAGGACCACGACCGTCCTCAAAACCAACTCTCAACAATCAAATGCAAAAGACTACCAATTCAAACCTGCTGGAACCTGGCAATACGCTATTGACCCAACCACACTCAAATTCGTCAACACTCCACCTGCCAATGGAACTCTGCCTTCTCCCGTTTTCGATGCTGGCAAGCCACCTCTTTCGATGACGGTTACGGCTTGTCAAATCAACTGGCCAACTGCTGGAGATACGTTTGTGGCTTCGCCACCTCAGAACCCGGCTTGTACTGGTGCTAAGACGACGATTACTTTGAGGCCGTTTGGGGTACGTTTTTTGTCCTTTTTTTTGAAAGAGCTGGGAAGGGATTTTGATCTCTTTTTTAGTCGACCAAGCTGAGGATTGCGGAGTTCCCTGTTATCAAGGCTTGAGTGCGAAGAATGGTAGATGAAAAAAGTGCTGTAAATTACGGATGTTTTTTTTTCGTATCTGGAATGGTGTAACTTGTATTCAGAATAGTGCTATTCATGCCGGTCTTCACTTGTGCTGATGCTACCAAGGTCTACCGTGTAGCCGTACACATTACTAAGCTGTCCTATGTGACTCAGGGCAAGATGGCCGAGTGGTCTAAGGCGCTAGATTTAGGTCTTTCTAAACTCTAGTCTTCGGGCGTGGGTTCGAATCCCACTCTTGTCATTCTCTGATATCTGAGATTATCCTTTTTCTTATCCTCAACTTTTGTTCGCCGCAGTCAAAAAAGTCGTTGCAGCGGCTCAAAAGATGGGAGTTCTACGGTTTTCATTCGAAATTTCTGGAATTCCATTCCTCTTCGTATCAAAATTAGCACTGTCCTCACTGCGGCTTATTTAATTACAGCTCTACTTTTTTATTGTTTGATTTCTTCCTTGTGAAATAGATCTAATTAGTCAGTTTTAGTAGATTTAAGAGGTCATCATCAACGTTAGAGAAAAGGACAAAACGTACTGGGAATTTCAGGCATCCATTTGTTACGATACTTGCCAAAAAACTCTCCTTTAGGTGCAAGCTCTTCCTGACCTCGTTCGTCTAATGTCCTGTATACCACGTATCTCCATTCCGGTGCCGCCTCCTGTCCATACTCAAGGATTCCGCTCCCACAAGTCTCACAAAACTCGCGGTGAAGTTGCGTAGAACCATTATCCGAAATATGCTCTTTAGTTTTTCCCGATGTTATCTTAAAAGAGGATTTGGGAATTTTGGTAGTAGTTCCGAACGGTGTGCCGAAGAATTTCTATTAGGACGAAACAGGGTTTTTAACACGAGTGCCCAGGCGAGAAACTACGATCGTGCGCACCTTGCAATTATGACAGTGGCAAATGCTAGTCCTACCATTGTCCGGAGATTCGAGGGTTATCTCGTCTTGTATTTCGCCACAATAGCACGAGCCTTTGTAGGTGGGCATGTTTGAAAGAAGATATTAGAACACTTGAGAACGCAAGATCAAGTAATATGATGTTGATATTGGCTGCCCAAGAATGACCCCACACCTTCGTCATCCCACTCATCATTCGTTGCGTCGAGCTGATGCGCTGCGGTCGTTGTAACAGTCAGTTACTCGCCCAGGTGATGACCCCCGTGGCCGGGTGAACTTTAGATCGACTCACACCATCAAGTTACGACTAAAGGTTTTGCACATCCTAGTCGTCTCGAGACTACTTGGAAGTCGACCCTCAGGAACTTGCAATTTAACACCAAAAGAACCTGATTTAAAAAGCCAGCGAACGTTCAGATTCGTGCACGTTCAGGAAACTCGCGCTACCTATGGAGCTTGGAACTCGTCACGACGAGATCTGAACCATATTAAAGTCGGGTAAGTAGAAAACAGAGACCAACAGACCTAACCAATCATGCGGGCTTTACTCATCAAGCTGAACATAACTCCCGAATGAAAAAAACAAGCACCCGTCCCGTTGAGTTGAATTTTTCTTTTGAGAAAGTGCACCCGATTAGCCGCTTTGGCCCTTGATCCCCGAACTTGCTCCAAACTATTGGGTCTGACTGAGTTAGCAACAAGTCAATTAGCCCAAAAGCGTGAAAATAGGAAAGCGCTTAGTCGCATCGTGAATACGGCGAAAGGCGGGGATTTTTGTATCCTGCTAGTCCGTTGTTGGTCCGATGTTGGTTGAGTTGTTGCCAGTTGGTATTGAAGGCGAGCATATGCCGTGCCGGGACGCATCGGAATCTCTCGCGATGGAATAGACCATATTTGCAACGCGTTTTTTCAGTTCTGAGTCAACTTTCGGACTTTTCCGTCCCACCAAGATATCAGGTTTTCTCCCTTTGTTGCGAATTTGTCCGAAAATCGTCGTTTTGGCGGTTGCAAATATGCTCTAATAGCTCGGCCCGAGAACTTAGAAGTCAGCGATCAGAAACTGGCCGGTCCGCAATTCTTTCTGGTAACTTGAACTTGAACTTAATGGCAAGTCTGCCCTCGTCTCTCCGAAATTTTGGGGTGATTGGTTTCATCACATAACACCTTTATGTATCATCGAGACCAGTCAGAAGTATTCCATCTGCTGCTACAGAGGCTGGAAATTCGAGCACATTGAAAATGACGCAGGGACCCTGGCAACCAGCCCTAAATATTAAATGAAGAAGGGGCCGGGAACCCAATACTGACATATAAATATCAAATCCTCAAGTTTGTCACCACCGCGGGAAAGTGCACCGGCAGCAAGGGTAGTGACGACGGCACCCAAGCGTTTTGCTGGACAACGTCTCGAGCGACTTGGGGCAACAATTGAACGAACTTCAACTGCCGTAGTCACTTTCCGAGTCGGTGAAGTGTGGGGCCTCGCTCGAGGTACTCTCAGTACGTTCAATCTGTGATTATGATTTCTGACCGCCTTGAATCGCCGAAAAAGGCTCGTGGAGCTAGCGCTGTAGAATGTATTGTGCCTAACGAAAACAAAACAGACGAGGTGACACCGTGACAGGAAGAATTCTCCGAGGATCACTTTGAGCCACGTAGTCGATCGGAAGAGGTTTTATGTTAAAGCGAGCTCAGGTGATTGCATGCGACTGAAATGATTGGGAAAGTGGCCGATGAAAAAGGTTTTGGAAGGCGTTGCATCATTCCAGCGGTCGAAATACAAGGGCCGTACCTATTACTCTAAAACCTCCGAAGCCGCGCGTTATATTGACATTTTGGCCAGCCTCGGGTACGACGAATTTGTTCGGACGGTGTCTAATGGTTAACGATTAGTCAAAGAGCGAAGTATTCGCCAATCAAGGTGAGTAGCACTAGCAAGCACCGTCAACTTCGACCCCTCGGTTGTTCTTAAGGCGTTCAATTGATTGCTCGTACACTTACCAAAAAAAATTTGCTTGGTGAGCAAACTCTTTCTGACCTCGCCCCTCTAATGTATATCACGTCTCGGGATTGCCTCTTTTCCATATTCCGGAGTCCTGGAAGTGCCAGATCTAGACGAGAAAAACGATGCGTACATATTCAGGTTGCACATCTTGAAATTGTGATAATCTGAACAGCTCCTTCTACCACTATCCGGAGACTCAAGGATCATCTCTTTATGGGCTTTTGAATTATCCATTAGTAGTCAATTTAGGGGGTAGGTTCATGCTTAGCGTATATTTAAAGTCGTAGTGTGAGCTTTTGGTTGTGCCGAGGTACGTCTCTGCTTCTGTCCTAGTCCAACAAGGAGCCAGTGCGAGTTCACCGCAATAGCTTTGGAAGTCGAGTGTTCCCCGGTGATAACGGGTAGTCGCCAAGGCTGCTGGCTTGCTGCTAGGTCACAAAGTCGACGCATGGAATCAATACGAAGAGCCTTGATCTGGTCCGTGAGCGGATTCAGAGGTCATCAATATTCAAACTGTCGGATTCTGTCAAGTAATTGAACAATGATAACCAACGGAAAACACTCGCATCGTAAATATATTGGAAGGAGGGATTTCTGTATCCGGCAAGCCAAAAAATGTAGCTCGCCTGGTAGTTTTAAAGGTAGATGTAAATGCCATTATTCCACGCGTTCTCCGAGTGGTTCCACGGGTTGTGTTGAAGGTTTCGGCCCGCAATATGCAAAGCGAAGTTGGGGAGGTTCAAACCCCACGCTTCTCAGATTTTCCGGCAATTGGTATCATCGCACATAAACAACATAAATCACACAAACGCCGAGAATTACAACACATTAAGAACACGGATCAAGAAAATAACAATCAAGGATAAACCGGAGACTCGACACTGAAGTCCCAAATCCTCATTTCCCAACGACGGGCGTTTAGAGCTGAATGGGAACACAGCCAATGTTAATGAGGCCGCCTAAGGACCGGAATTGTTAGTAAGAAAGTCGAGACGACGGCTAGAAACATTTATGCTTTACCGAGTGAGGAGGACTGGCAGTTGACAGTGTTCGTGTTGCTAGAGAAGAAATTGAAGTTAGTCTTTGGCGTTGGTCAAGAGAGGAATGCTGGTCTACTAACCATCCACCGTTTCCACCACCAATAACAGTGATCGGGCTGCAGTTAAGACCGATGAGGCCAGTGATATCGCCCACAACGACACCGATCAGGGCGAGAAGTGCAAGGGTGCTGGCGCTTGCGTTGTCGGCCGTTTGAACCTGGTTGCAGCATTGGGGGCCAGTGCCTCCGGAATCACCACCTCCACGAGGAAGGGCAGTGGCGGCAGCAAGGGTAGTGATAGCTGAGAGGGTGAAGAGTTTGTTGAATAACATATTGAGCGAGGTGTAGTGATTGAACAGACAACTGCTGGGGTGTTCAGTGAGGATAAAGCTTCTTTTGAGAGGCTTTTTATACGTTTTCTGGCTCTTATTTCCGATCGCCTTGTTGCGCTGTTATCCGCTGTGGAAGCCGCTCGTGCGGTAAAATGTATTGTACCCATGTCGAAGTGGAGCTTCTGGGAACAATGAGTCAAACGATGAAAGATGTGTTTAAACAAAACATACAGTCGAAGTGACAGGATTTGAACGTAGATTCAGTCAAAACAGGCTTTATGTCAAAAATTCAGGTGGTGACGAAAGTGGCGTAACGAAAAGGCGTCGCATCATTCCAGCCGTCAAAAATGATCGTGCCTGCTCCGGAGATTCCCGAGCCGTGCTTACTGACGACGTGTGATGTGAGTGGCTCAGTCATTTACTTGAAATTTAAAAATTTCCAAGAGGGACACACCATGAACGGGAAGTATTGAGAGGATGTTGGGATTCATTGAGTCGAGGCAAGAGACACCATCAGCTGACATTCAAGACATAACTGGTTGAGTATTCGCCGAAAGTACTTCTCTGAGGCTTTTGGTGCCCGGTCTTTCTGATCTTGCTCTTGTTCTCATTCGGTATACCACATACCCCTTTCCGGGGTTGTCTTCTGTCCGCATTCTAGAAATTTCCTAGATCTAGAGCTTCCTGAGTGGGATCTTTATCTAAAACTCCCCTTCGGTTTTATTTTGGATGTGATTGTGAGAGACAATTTTGCCGTTCTGGTAGTCGTTCGAAAATGCGTACCAAAGCATTTCTGGAATGAACAGCGTTCAGTGAGAGCAATCGGGGCTAGACCTTGCAGGTCTAGAGCCCAGACTGACGAGGCTCGGAGGGAATATGAACCGAAATTTTATCTCACCGTCAGACTGACCCCCCAAATTCAGTGAACACCTTCCCATTGAGTCGAATTGCGAAGAACATCAGTCGATT